GGGATTACAGGACGCGTCACCATAGCAACTCACTGTGCTCCTCAATTGTGTTTGCTAGTCTTTTCTTCATGATTTTTGCATTGCTATTCATGAGGGCCACGGGTCCGTGGTTCCATTTTTATGGAACCTTTGGGCTTTGGTATTGAGGTAATACTGCTTTCTCAGAATGAGTTTGGAAGCATTCTCTCATCTTTCATGTTTTGGAGAAATTTGAGAATTGTTCCTAGTTCCCTTTATTTAAGAGTCCCCAGGTCCCAGGCACTTCTGTCCGCAGCTCAGCCACATGTCTCACACCCCAGAGCCAGGTAACGGGGGGGTCCCATTAAGGTCTCCTTTGTGCAGGTCTTGATTGCCAGTTCAGTCTCCATGCCAGCCAAAGGCCTGTCCAGACTTTCTGCTTCTTCATGGTGACTTCTGGGGAAGTAGCTACTTGATCTTTTTGTACGTCCTGGTGTTAGTCTGTTTTCCATTACCGTAGCAAAATACTCAAAGCAGGGTGCTTTATGAAGAGGCTTATTCCCAGTTTTGGGAGCTCCAGGCCTGCGGCTGGCTTTTTTGCTCACTCGTGGAGGTCTTTGGACCCATGGCCAGGCAGCAGAGGGCAATGTCACAGGAAACAGCACAGCCAAGTCCTGCTGAAGTTTACGCTTACGCACACACACACACCCAGACCCCAACAACCTACTGCATCCCCATGCTGGGGCCCAAGCCCAGTTAAACCTTACCAGGCCATTGCTCTCCATGAGAGGAAACATTAGGTTCACAGTTTGACATCTTTCCTGCCATCTCTTGTTCTGTGGTGCATGCCGGGAATGTGTCCAACCACCAAGGTGCATCCCAGTGCTCGGGCCTCTCATGGCGTAGGCTTTGTGTCATCTCCTTTTGACACCTTGTTTTTTGTTTCTATTTGTCTTCAAGTTTTCTAATTTCTCTTGTGATTTCTTCTTGAATGCGTGGCTTAAGAGTATACTGTTTAAGACGGATCACTACGAGTCCAATCTAGTAGTGAGACCCTGAACACCCTGTAGACCCTTCCCTAAAATACAAAAAAATAAAAAAAAGAGTATACTGTTTAGTTTCCACAAATGTGTGCACGTTCTGATCTTCTGTAATTGCTTGTAACTTGGTGCTGGGCAGAGGGGCTGGCACCTTGTGTGACGTCAGTCTGTCCGAATCTGCAGAGGCTTCATTGTGGCATCTCCTGTAGTCTGTCCAATGAGAATGTGACCGTACAGTCAAGACAGTAAAACTTTTCAGACTTAAAGCGTGATACAGCTCTTAATTTTATTATAGAAATATAGAAGTAAATGTGTAACTTTAGGTATCATTTTTAATGTTATCTCATTACACTTTGAAATGATACTGATATTTTTATGATAGTGAAAAAGGTTATCATTTTTGAAATATTGAATGAGTGACCTTAGCTATTCAGTCATGATGAAAGGCCTAATCTAACCTTTTATTGAGTGTGATATTTATTAAAAATGAAACTTCTCATTTCCATTACTTAATCAATAGCACATTAAGCCATTTATTAATATGATTAAAAAAGGTCTTGCAGATTAGAGACTGTGCTTCCTTGCTATCTGCCCTAATTCTAATACCCAGGAAATAGCGTGTTAACCTGGAGTCACTCAGATCCATCTAGTTTTATGCTTCTAACTTATAAGCTACGGGAAAGAACAATTAAAATCTGCAGGAAGAAAATAAGGGTTGTAAGGGTTGTGTAGGAACACACAAGCCCCTTATACATCCTCACATGCCTAAACCCACTAGGAGAAAATGTGTTTTATTTTCCCATTATTCGGTGTTACTCATACCGAAGACACTGGGTCGGGCTAGTAGCATGTAGTGAGCGTTGGGCCCGAAGGCGGCTACAATGGAAGGAAACGGGGAGAATGCAGAGGTGAGCTGCAGAGGCCGTGGCTGCCGGGGGG